GGCCCCAAGAGGGGACCCACAGGGGAAACATTGACAGAAATTCTGGGCTTTCGGCCCCACTACGAGGCGCCCAGGAGGCCCCAAGAGGCCCCCAAGAGGCCCGAAAAGAGGCCCCAAGAGGCCCCCAAACGGCCCCCCACTGGCCACGAACGCGGAAGCAAACGCCTGCGATGGCACAATACGGGCCGGCGGAATGAGCGAAGCGATTGGATAGTTATTTCTCCGCGGCACCCGCCGCACAGCCTTCCCTACTGTCGTACCTTCCCGGACCTTCTGGCACCCTCTTGTCCAAGAATACCGGGCCAGAGCCTTGAATCCTTCCGCACCCTCACATCACACAGCCTGGCGCGCGCACGCTCCCAACAGACACCAGCCGGAGGCGCGGGTGAGAGGAGGTACACACCCACAGCACGAAGAGATTACTGACAAAGCCCAGCCAAAGCTGAGTGAACACCCCCGCTACATCCCGATTTGCCCCCCACGCAACCTCCGCGTTCCCCCCAAAAAGTGGGGCGGCGGTGTCTGCCCCCTCAGAGGCGTTCAATTAAATAGTTATTTCTCCGCGGCACCCGCCGCACAGCAACGACGACAACGACTACGATTACGTTTACGACTACGGCTACGACTCCGATTGTGACCACGATTGCGACTACGAGTGCGACTACAACCGCAACTACGATTACGACTACAATCGCGACTACAATCACGATTACAAGCACGATTACAACCACGACTACAATCACGACTACAACCACAACCACTGATTCTCAATGTAATCCTCATGAGAAGACGCTCATAAATCCTCTCGCGTGTAGTGTAACTCACACTTGAATATTCCTTGGGAGAAAGAGCCCCCCAACAGTATCCGGCCCGCCCAACAATAGAGGGAACGCAATCTCCGCCACGACGACGACGACGACGACGACGACGACGACGACGCGACGACGACAACAACGACGACGACGACAACGACGACGACGACGACAACGACAACGACGACGACGACGACAACAACTACAGTAATGACCACGGAGAGGAGCAGGAGGAGGACGAGGAGCAGCAGCAGGAGGAGGAGGAGCAGCAGCAGCAGCAGCGGGAGGAGGAGGCGGAGGAGGAGGAGGAGGCGGAGGAGGAGGAGGCGAAGGAGGCGAATGAGGAGGAAGAAGAGGAAGGGCGAGTTTGTTCGGAACAGGGGAGAGACCCAAACTAAAGATCTCCCTCGGTTATTTTGCACCACCATGCAATAATTTCGCACCCCCCCCTGTCGCCCGACTGGACTGGTGGGGGGCAGGGACGGCCAAATCGACGACGACGACGACGACGACCACGGCGACGACCATGGCGACGCCAGTGACGACCATGGCGACGGCGACGGCGACGACCACTGCCACTACGGCAACGACGCCGTCGGCGACCACGACGCCGCCGACGAGCACGACGATGACGAGGTCGCACACGACGACGCCGGCCGACGAGCACGACGCCGCCGACGAGCACGACGCCGACGGCGCCGACGACGCCGACGACGGCGACGCACGCGACCGCGGCGAGCGGCCACGGCGGCGGCGAGCGGGCGCCCTGCTGCTGCTGGCCGTGCCACGCCAGCTGCTGCACGGGCCGCGCGTCCGCGGCCGTGAGGCCCGCCAGCAGCTCGGCGGCGTCCGCCTGCGGCCGCCGCGGCGGCCCCGGCCGCCGGCGCCCCGCCGCGGCGCCGCGCAGCCGAGAGAGACGGCGGCGGCCACGGCCGCTGGCCGGCGGCGGCGGCGGCAGCCGCAGTCGCCGTCGCCGGCGGCGGCGGCGGTGCGGGCAAGCCGCCTGGCGGCGGCGGCGGCGGCGGCCGCCGCCGGCGACAGCCGCAGTCGCCGTCGCCGGCGGCGGCGGCGGTGCGGGCAAGCCGCCGAAGGGCGGCCGCGGCGCCGGCCGCCCGCGGCGGCGGTGGCGACGGCGACGAGGGCAGAAGTCTGGTGTTTTCTGGTGGTGTCGACGAGTGCGCTCGCAGGAGCCTGGCACCTGCTACTGCAAAACCATCAGGCTCGATCAACGTTGTGGTCTGAATTGGCAGCCCACGGCGTTTGCCGAGCTTGAACGATGTTAACATGTGCGCACGCATGCAGCCCGCAAGCGCGCGTGTAAGATCGATTAGAGCGCTCCGCATGATATGACTTGACAGGGATGATGGGTGTCGACAAGGGCCTGGCCAGGATGCGGCTACTGGGTAGTCATAGAACAATCGTGCCCAAAACCATGGAAAGCCATACGCGAAGGGGCACCGTGAAGCCGTCAAGCCTGGCCTCGATGTGCGGGTAGGGTCCGACATTCTTTAGAACAATTTCCTCCTCCTCCTCCTCCTCCTCCCTCCTGCCTCCTTCCTCCTCCTTCCTCCTCCTCCTCCTCCCTCCTTCCTCCTCCCTCCTTCCTCCTTCCTCTTCATCCTCCTCCTTCTCCTCCTCCTCCTCCTCCTCCTCAGAGGGTGCAACCTCTGTGATGCAAGCGAAGCACCAAGCAGCACACGTAGGCCCCCCACGAAGCGCCACTGGGGGGGCGGCAGGGCGAAGCCCCCGAAATCCCAGGCAGCGCACGGGGCGCCCACAGAGCGCCCGCGGGCGGCGACGGAGCGAACACCGGGAACTCCCGGCCAGCGCACGCAATCGCACGAAGCCTTCTGTAACCATCTGTCGCATTGTGCCCATACGGCTTAGATTCTTGACTCACCCTCCCACGCGCCCGACGCACGCCCTCCTTCAGCTCGTCCTCCTCCTCCTCGTCCTCGTCCTGATAGTGCTCATCTCTTCTTCATCCTTCACCGCTCTCCTACGTAAGCGCCCTTCTTTCGTTCCCTGCCTCCACCCCCACAGGCTCCTTTCACCTTCCCATTAACCCTTCGAAGCCTCCGACAGCCGCTCTTCATCCTGCTTTTCCCTCCTCCTGCCTCCTCCTCCTCCAGCCCCCCCTGTCCCCCTGCCCCCTTTCGTTCTCCTCCTCCTCCTCCCCTCCACCATTCCCTCCTCCTCCACCATTCCCTCCTCCTCCTCCTCCTCCTCCTCCTCCTCCTCCTCCTCCTCCTCCTCCTCTTCCTCCTCCTCAGCTTTCTCCTCGCCTCCTGCTCCCCCCATCTCCCTCCGCGCCCGCTCTCGGTCCCCTCCCCCCCGCGCTGCCCGCGAGCGGCGGCCGCCTGGGACAGGTCCCCCAGCAGCGCCCTCACCTCGCTCTCGGGCGCCTCGCTGGCGAGCGACGCCCACGCCTCGGGGGGACCAAACAACGACACACACACACATAAACTTCTGGAGGTCCGCGCGTCCTTCTCGGATCACCGCTGGAGCCCCCAGGCGGCGCATCCGGCGCCGCCGCTGGCGCGCTTCGCGCGCCCAAGAAGAGGGTCCAGATCCGAGACATCCGCGCGGACCTCCGAAAGCTTATGTATATGTCTTGGTTTGCTCCCCGAGCGCCAGGCGCAGGCCGCTAACCGCGTCGGCCCCTCGGCGAGGGCGAGGGCGGCGGCGGCGGTGGCGGAAGGGCGTGTGCGTACATTAGAGCAACAGAAAGCCCAGAAGGCATCACCCACCCTCTCCCCTTCACCTTCCCGTGAAAGCACACACACACATATGTATGTAGGTGTGTGCGTGTGTGTGTGCATGGATACCTACTTCACACCTGTAGCTGTAGGCAAACATGCATCTACACATCGATGAGCAAACATATAGGTAGAGAGAGAGGGAGAGAAGGAGGGAGAGACAGACAGACAGACAGACAGACAGACAGACAGACAGACAGACAGACAGACCGACAGACAGACAGGACAGGACAGGACAGGACAGGACAGGACAGGACAGGACAGGACAGGACAGGACAGGACAGGACAGGACAGGACAAGACAAGACAAGACAAGACAAGACAAGACAAGACAAGACAAGACAAGACAAGACAAGACGGACAGACGGACAGACGGACAGACGGACAGACGGACAGACGGACAGACGGACAGACACAGACAGGCAGGCAGGCAGACAGGCAGACAGACAGGCAGGCACAGACAGACAGGCAGACAGACAGGCAGGCAGGCAGGCAGACAGAGAGACACACAGGCAGGCGGGCAGACACCCAGACGGACATACAGACAGACATAGAGAGCGAGACACAGAGAGAAAGAGAGAGAGAGAGGCACACAAACAAATGAACTTGAAATGGGATCTGGAAGGGGGAGGGGGGGCGGACTCCACTCCTCCGCCCCCTCCCCCCTCCTCCCTCACTCCTCGCCTCCTCGCCTCTTTTCTCCCCCTGCTCCTCCTGCGCATTCCTCCTCGTCCTCCTCCTCCCTCCTCCTTCCTTCTCCTCCTTCCTCCTCCTCCTTTCCTCCTCCTCCTCCTCATCTTCCTCCTCCTTTCCTCCTCCTTTCCTCTTCCTCCTTTCCTCTTCCTCCTTTCCTCCTCCTCCTCCTCCTCCTCCTCCTCCTCCTCCTCCTCCTCCTCCTCCTCCTCCTCCTTTACTCCTCTGCAGGGGCGCGGCCGCGCGCGCGCCCAGCAGAGGGAGCGGGGGGGGGGAGGGCGAGCTCCTGCTGGGCGGCGCTCCTCGGTCGGGGGGGGGCGCAGGATGGAGCGAGGGAAGGAAGCATGGGGAAAGCAGGAGGGGGAGGAAGGAAGTAGGGGGGGGGGCAAGGAAGTAGGGGGGGAGGGGGAGCAGGATGAAGGGGAGGAAGGATAAGAGCTCCTTCTAGGCGGCAGTCCTCGAGCGGGGAGGGCACAGGAGGGGAGGGAAGCAGGGCGGGGGGGAGCAGGAGAAGGAGGAGGAAGGGGAGGGGGAAGAAGAGAAGAGGATGAAGGGATTCGAAAGACGGGTTCTAGTGATGCGCAGCACGCGCGAGCGACAGCCGAACCACACCTGGACGAGAGCCGAAGCCAACGCCAGACACAGCTGGTGCCCTCGAAAGGAAGAGGAAGGGAGGAGGGCGAGCGGGGGCGAGGAGAGGAGGGAGAGGGAGATCGGAGGGGGAGAAGCACAGAAGGAGGAAGAACAGCATGAACATAAACTGTCCGGAATCTGCGCGGATTCCTGGGAACGGCGCTGGCCCCGCTGGCGGCGCATCCGACGCCGCCCCTGGCGCGCTCCGCATGCCACTGAGGGGGGGGGGGGGTCCAGCGCCGATCCACGAAATCCGCACGGAGCTCCGAAAAACTATGCTGATCCGCCCGTCGACCGAACGCGCTTCTTTGTTTAACCATCGGACCGCCACAATGCTCTGCGACGGGGTGCGTCGCGTGGGCCCTCCGGTAGCCGAGCCCGCCCAGGAACTGCCACTGCCACCCCTTAGTCCGCGGAGAAAGCTCCCGCCCCTCACCCGGCGCAGCGGGGGCCCACCTGCGGGGGCTGCAGGGGTGTCGGGAGCGGCAAAGAGGGGGGTGTCCAAGAGGGGGGGGTGCAAATCATGACGGGCGGCATGTGCGCGGCCCAGCGGGCGGGCCTGGGACGTAATAAAATAAGAAGAGGCGCCATGAAATCTGGGGAGATCTCATGGCCCCCGCCATGATATCCACCCCCCCTAGTCATCACCCCCCTCTTTTCCGCTTCCGAGGGTGGCGGCAAAGAGAAGGTCCGGGAAGCTGGGGTGGGCCTCAGGAAAACCACCACGCCTGAAACCTGCCCGGGCCTGTGCTGGGCCCATCGAGGGACAAGAAGACGAGCGGGCCAGAACGCCACTACGGCACAGGAGAGACTGATGGATGGGGGGGGAGCGGGGAGGACGAGGAACAGGAGGAGAAGGAAGATGAGGAGAAGGAAGGAGGAGAAGGGAGGAGGAGGAGGAGGAGGAGGAGGAGGAGGAGGAGGAGGAGGAGACGGAGACGGAGACGGAGGTGGAGGAGGAGGAGGAGGAGGAGGAGGAGGAAGAGAAGGAGTGAGGAGGTAGGAACACGAGAAGGCGAAGGGAGGAGGTAGGAACAGGAGGAGGCAGGGAGGGAGCGGGGAGGGAAGGGGCGGAGGGAGGAGAAGGAGGAGAAGGAAGGAGAGGGAGGAGCGAGGAGGATGGAGAGAGGGAGAGAGCGAGAGAGGGAGTGAAGGAGGGAGGGAAAAGGAGAGAGAAAAGGAGGAGGACCAGAGTAAACCCAAGGGGCGTCAACGATGCTGCAATGCACCCTCCCGTCCCAAGGCCCCTCCCCACAAGTCCCTACAAGCCTTCCTCTTCACTACAGGAAGCGCCCCCTTGAAGTAACTACACCTTCTGGGCTTGCAGTTGAGGCGGGATCCCCGTTCAAAAAAATACGCTACCGAGGAGCCCCACATACTTAACTTAAATCTTGTGTGTTTGCTTAAGTTTATAATATATGCGCAATTCTGCGTTCTCAGCCCTCGTCGCGAATGTTCCCCTATGTGTCATCCAACGCCATATTGCTTGAACCTCCTCCCTCTTCCTAGCCTTCTATCCCCCGTCGAGGACAGATTCGAGCCAGCCAGCGGCCGCGGTGAGGGACCACCCCCTGCGCACCCTCGATGGTGTCGAGAAAGTGCCACGCCTGCTATGCCCTGGACGACCGTCGTGCGTAGCGGCCGCGGTGAGGGACCACCCCCTGCGCAGCCTCTATGGTGTCGAGAAAATGCCGCGCCTGCTATGCCCTGGACGACCGTCGTGCATAGCAGCCGCGGTGAGGGACCACCCCCTGCGCACCCTCTATGACGTCGAGAAAGTGCCACGCCTGCTATTCCCTGGACGACCGTCGTGCATAGCGGCCGCGCTGAGGGACCACCCTCTGCGCACCTCCTGTGGTGCCGAGAAAGTGCCACTCCTGACACGATCTGCGAGCGTGTCACGGATAGAGGCCGCGCTGAGGGACCACCCTCTGCGCACCCCCTGTGGTGTCGAGAAAGTGCCACTCCTGCCAAGATCTGCGAGCGTGTCACGGATAGAGGCCGCGCTGAGGGACCACCCTCTGCGCACCCCCTGTGGTGTCGAGCAAGTGCCACTCCTGCCACGATCTGCGAGCGTGTCACGGATAGAGGCCGCGCTGAGGGACCACCACCCTCTGCGCACCCCCTGTGGTGTCGAGAAAGTGCCACTCCTGCCACGATCTGCGAGCGTGTCACGGATAGAGGCCGCGCTGAGGGACACCACCCTCTGCGCACCCCCTGTGGCGTCGAGAAAGTGCCACGCCTGCCACGCCCTGCGAGCGTGTCACGGATAGAGGCCGCGCTGAGAGACCACCCTCTGCGCACCCCCATGTGGTGTCGAGAAAGTGCCACTCCTGACACGATCTGCGAGCGTGTCACGGATAGAGGCCGCACTGAGGGACCACCCTCTGCGCACCCCCATGTGGTGTCGAGAATGTGCCGCGCCTGCCACGCCCTGCGAGCGTGTCACGGATAGAGGCCCCGCTGAGGGACCACCCTCTGCGCACCCCCATGTGGTGTCGAGAAAGTGCCGCGCCTGCCACGCTCTGCGAGCGTGTCACGGATAGAGGCCGCACTGAGGGACCACCCTCTGCGCACCCCCATGTGATGTCGAGAATGTGCCGCGCCTGCCACGCCCTGCGAGCGTGTCACGGATAGAGGCCCCGCTGAGGACCACCCTCTGCGCACCCCCATGTGGTGTCGAGAAAGTGCCGCTCTGCGAGCGTGTCACGGATAGAGGCCGCACTGAGGGACCACCCTGCGCACCCCCATGTGTGTCGAGAATGTGCCGCGCCTGCCACGCCCTGCGAGCGTGTCACGGATAGAGGCCCCGCTGTGAGGGACCCCCCCCTGCTGCGAGCACCCGCACTGAGGGACCACCCTCTGTGATGTCGAGAAAGTGCCGCGCCTGCCACGCCCTGCGAGCGTGTCACGGATAGCGGCCGCGCTCAGGGGCCACCCCCTGCGCACCCCCTGTGGTGTCGAGAAAGTGCCACGCCTGCTGTGCCTGGACGACTGTCGTGCATAGCGGCCGCGGTGAGAGACCACCCCCTGCGCACCCCCTATGGTGTCGAGGAAGTGCCACGCCTGCCACGCCCTGCGAGCGTGTCACGGATAGAGGCCCCGCTGAGGGACCACCCTTTGCGCCCCCCCAGCGGTGTCGAGAAAGTGCCGCGCCTGCCACGCCCTGCGAGCGTGTCACGGATAGAGGCCCCGCTGAGGGACCACCCTCTGCGCCCCCCCTATTGTGTCGAGGAAGTGCCACGCCTGCTCGCCTGCCGCATGGCTTGCCGTGTGTATGTGTATGATGCGTGTGCGGCCATATCGGGACATATCTCACGTGTTGCCCAGTATGTCGTGCAGACGTCTTGGGTGTATGATGCAGTGAACATGCGTTTTGTATGTGCGAATGTGTGCATGCGTGCGGCTGTGTGCGAGTGTGTGGGTGAGGAGGCGGGAGGTGTGTGAGACGCGGGTGCGGCGCGGCAGGGAAGAAAACCAGAACCCCACGACGAAGCATGTGGGGAAGAAACGGCCTTGCATCCTCTCAGCGCGTAATCAGCAATGCGAGCAGATATGAACATACTCATCGTTCGCTGGAAGTGGGTTAAACCATGCAATAGGAACGTTGGACAAATATTGGCGTTTCGCCTGTCCACTGGAAAAATACGGAATCAGAAAAAACGATGCCCTTTTGACGTAGAAAAGACGTTTAAAGTATACCGGAGCGTGGGATTCCACATGTACATGCTCTCAACGAACAACGCGTACGGCTCAACGAGGTGTCCAACGAGATCCCCGTTTTGAAGAAGGATCGCCCCCCCATCTCTGCAACAATTGCACAAGGTTAAACTGTTGCCCATGACCGTCGAGGAAGCCTCAAGCGAGAGCCCAATATTGAAAAGGAAGGGCCATTCATTCGTGCAGCTCCTACCGATGTACAAGCTTCGAATTATTGATACGAAGGGAATCTCGAGCGAGAGCCCCATTTTGAAACATAATCGTGCTGCATACCTGTTACCGCTGCAAATTATAAGACGACTGTGCGCGGCGCTACGGTGGGAACCCCATTTTGAAAAAGGATCCGCTGCGAGCTTTCAGCACGCATGCGGGCGGCGCTGAGCAATAGCCCAATCTCGAGAACGGTCTGTGATTTAATTCGCCGGCCCAACGGGCCAGGGCGTGCTAAGATCTCCGGTAACTGATTAACAGTATTAACAGTATTTCTAGTTCGCGCTCGCGGGGCGGCCCCTGGGGGTCCCCCGGCGAAAAGTACCCCGACCAACGCCCGGTCGCCGCCCGACCGCCGCCCGACCGCCGCCCGACCAAGTCTACTCAGAGATGGTTTTCCTTCTGGGTGCGGCCTCTCAGGCTCCCCAGAGCGCGCTCAGAGTGCCCCAAGAGGCCCCCAAGACTGCCCAAGAGGCCCCCGAGACGCCCAAAGAGCGCTCGAAGACGCCGAAGATGACCCCAAGACGGCCCAAAAGGCCCCCAAGACAGCCCAAGAGGCCTCCAAGACGCCCCAAGAGCCTTCCAAGAGGCCTCCGAAGAGAGCCCCAAGAGGCCAAAATCGTTGATTTTCATTGGTTTTTTATGTTTTTTGTGTTCTGGCTTTTTCGGCTTCCGGACGCTCCAAGACGGCCCAAGAGGCCCCCAAGACCGCTCCAAGACGGCCCACGAAGCTCCCAAGACGGCGCCGAAACGACCCAAGAGAGCCCTCAAGACGGCCCAAGTGCCGCCCAAGACGGACCAAGAGGCCCCAAGACGGGCCCAAGAGGGACTCAGGAGGGATACCGAGAACTCAAAAATGGAGCCCTCCGTCCCAGAAGGCGCCCAGGAGGTCCCAAAGAGGCCCCAAGAGGCCTCCAAGAGGCCCCAAGATGTCGCCAAGAGGCCCCAGAAGACTCCCAGGAGGCCCAAAAGAAGCCCCAGAAGGCTTCAAACATGTCTCCCAGGCGCCCCCGAACGGCCTCTCAACAGACCCCAAGAGGCCCCCCAAAGAAGCATCTTGACGACGACCCTATTTCGCCCCATCGAGAGACGACCCCCAGGGAACTGCTTCACCATCAAAACTCCCCACACAACGCGTCCGAACGACACCCGCCCCCAAGAGCGCAACATGGGCAACGACCACACAGACAAAAACCAGCGATGCCATATCACGGGCCGGCGGAATGAGCGAAGCGATTCAATAAATCTACGCTGAAGCTCTGCTTCAGCATGAGCTTTAGCTCTGCTTGGGATGGAGGGAGGGGGGGGGACGTGATAACCTGACGAATAATGTGCTCGGCACCTCCCCCCACCCTGCCAGGGAGGGACGGGGGGGCGTAATTACCTGACGAATTATGTGCTCGGCACCTCCCCCCACCCTGCCAGCTCCCAGGAGAGAGGGGAGGGGGGGGGGAGAGAGGGGGGGGGAGGGGGGCACAGGAGAGAGGGGAGGGGGGACAGGAGAGAGGGGGAGGGGGGGACAGGGAGAGGGGGGGAGGAGGAAAAGGAGAGAGGGGGGGGGGGGGGGGGGCAGGAAAGATGGTGGAAGGGGGGGGACAGGAGAGAGGGGGGGGGGGGAGGGGAGGAGAAAGGGGAGGGGAGGGGGGGGGGCCAAGCTAGGTGCGCTCGCGTCATATCTGACATCCTACCCCTCCCTCCCATCCCTTACCATGGCGTAGATCCCCTCTCTACTCGCTCAGTCGGATGTCGAGCAGGGCAATGATCCCGAAAGGGTACGCGATGCATTGTAGAGCACGGCATGGCATGGCGTAGAAGAGCACCGCAAAGCGTAGTATCAACCTAGCATTGCATTGCATGCCGTGGCATGGCACGGGAAATGACGCCAGCGCTGCAGCGGGAGCACGAGTCGAAACGAGCGGAAGCGCGGAAATGAGGCCAGCGCTGCAGCGGGAGCACGATTCGGAACGAGCGGAAGCACGAAAATGAGGCCAGCGCTGCAGCGGGAGCACGATTCGGAACTAGCGGGGCCCGGAAACGAGGCCGGCGCCTCAGCGAGAGCAGCATTTTGAAACAAATGCAGGCGAAAACCCAACTCCAGGGAAACCTGTGCAAAAAAACAGTACGCGGGGGGGGTCGGCCACTTTCAAACCGTCGTCAGGGGAAGAGGGAGAGTAGTATTCATATGGAGTAATGTAGAAGGGGGGGGGGACAGGAGAGAGGGGGGGACAGGGAGAGAGCGGGGGGGGGGGAAGAGGGGGAGGGTGGACAGGAGAGAGGGGGGGGCAGGAGAGAGGGGGGGGAGGGGAAAGAAGAGAGTGGGGGGGGACAGGAAGAGAAGGGGTGGGGTGGGCAGGAGATGAGGACGGGCGGGGGGGGGGAACGGGAACAGGAGAGAGGGGGGGAGGGAGAGGGGGGGGGGACAGGAGGAGAGGGGGGGGGGACAGGAGAGACGGGGGGGGAGGAGGGAAAGGGACAGGAGGAGGGGACAGGAGAGAGGGCGGGGGGACAGGAGAGAGGGGGGGGAAGGAGAAGGGGGGAGAGTGGGGTATAGGGGGTGGGCCAGAAGAGAGGTGGGGGGGGCAGGAGAGAGGGAGGGAGGGAGGAGGGGGAACGGAGAGAGGAGGGTCGAGAGGGGGAACAGCAAAGGAGAGGGGGGGGGGGGGGGACGGAGAGAGGAGAGAGGGTGAGGGGGGGGGGCCGGGATCATCACCATCTCCATCAACATCACCATCACCATCGTCACATCACAAGCATCATCATCATCATCATCATCATCATCATCATCATCATCATCATCATCATCATCATCATCATCATCATCATCATCATCATCATCATCATCATCGTCATCGCCATCGTCATCGTCATCGTCATCATCATCCAGACCGCCCCGGATCGGCGGCACTGGCCGGAGGCCACTACAAGAAATAACGATTGCAAGCTTTTCACAAGAAGGTGCGCGGCGCTATGGTGAAAGCCCCATCGTGAAAAGCACCTCTCTTCCATTTGTTTACATGTTGAGAACTTTTAAACCGAGTGTGCGCGGCGCCTAGGCGAGAGCCCCGTTTTGCAATTACAAGGAAACGGCGCTCGATCCTTGTCACACTTGCATGACTTTGTAAACGAATGTGCGAGGCGCTGAGGACGACAAAGACGAGAACGAGGACGACGCCGACGACGACGACGACGCCTGCTAGAACGACGACCCGGACGACGACGCCAACGACGACGGCGGCGACGACCCCTTCCGTGAGTGCAGTTTTCTTTCCCGGATCCATGCTGGATGGCCTCGCGGCCCGAAAACGGCGCCCAAAGGCCAAGATCAGGGAACGGCCTGTGTCGAACGATCCTCGATCGATCGATCGGCGACGGCAGCGGCGACACGACGACGAAGACGAAGAAGACGACGACGGGGAGGACCACGATGACGACCTCGAGGACATTAGTGACGACGCCGACATTGACATGGGGACGAGGACAAAGAGGACGAGGAGGAGAACGAGGACGAGGACCAGGACGCGGACGACGGCGGCGACGACGACAACGACGAGCAACGAGCGACGACGTAGACGACGAGCGACGAGCGTCGGCCGCCGGGGGGGCGTCCCTCGCACGCGAGGCCAGCCGCAGCACGCCCTTCCGCTGCGAGCGCACCTCCGCGCACGCCCAGCACA